GGTTTTGCGGCTGTACGTTTCCCCATCTCGTGCGACCCCTTGACCACGTTGTCCTTCCTCGAGCCCCAAACACGGGCTCCCGATGGGAACCCAAGCAGCCGCCCGACTCGCTCTCGCACAAAGTTGCGTATCCATCAGCACCACCACCCAGCCTGCAACAGGCAAGCTAGGCGTCCACCAATAAACACCCTCACTCCACACGCTGCAAGCTGTAAACCGCCTGGGCCATCTGCAAGTCTGTTGCACCGTGTGCCTGTGACGACGGGCACGGGAGCACAGCCGCCCTCAAAGGGGCGTCCGAGACAGCCTGTCTCAAAATGCCCCGGGACTGCGGCTTCCACAATGAACCAGTCGCACCGCCGCAAGTGGACACCATCACAGACGTTACAGCTTCTGCAAAGAGTTTGGCTGTTCGCATATACGAAACTAAGAACCAAAGGACAGACAAAATGACAAAGGCGGCTGGATGTCACAGCAGGAGGGCATGGGCACAGGTGTCCCCCCGCATCAGCCGCGCAGGGCCGCGGCCGCGCGCTCGGCCTGCTGCAGCAGCGTGCGCTCCACCACCCGCAGCTGCAGCGCGCCCCGCACAGCGGCGGCGCGCTCGGACCTGCGGCGCAGCGGCGGGCGGAGCGAGTTGGATGCGCCACGCACAAGGGGAGATGCTCCTGCATCAGACAATGTCAGCCAGACACGCGATTCTGAGAAGGGTGGCGCCTCACACCCACCTTGCGACCCAAGGCACGCGCATATGTGTCCAGGGATGCGCCCTCAGCCGCTCCGGGGCAGCGACCCCGCACTCGCCGCCTCCGCCGGCCCCGCCCACCTGTCCCCTGCGCCCAGCCGCGCCAGCTCGCGCGCGTCCCCTTCGAGGCAGCTTCCTGGCGGGTACCGCGCCTGGCGCTCGGAGATCGCGGCCAGCAGGACCTGGCCCATTCGGTGGCTCCAAAGCGCCGCCGCCTCCCCGCCGATGGCCACCTGGCGGATGGCGCGAGGGTCAGCAGTTGGCAGGGGCGGGACTGCACCCTTGCAGGGGTTGGGCGCGTCGAATTATTACTGCAGCAACGGGCTGCGGGCGCGGCGCCGGCTGAGTGCGGGCCTCGAGCCACGTGTGGTATGCACAGGGGGGCAGGTTGGGCCAGCCAGAGGGAAATTTGCGCCGCAGCGCTGCGATCGGCCAGCGCTGCGCCGGCCGGCCTCACAAAGGCCTTAACCTTAATCCCTCGACCACAAACCCTCAAGCCTCAAGCCCCTTCACGCCAGAGCGCACCTCCTGGAAGCGGGCAGTCACGGCGTCCGCCTGCCGCGGCTGATCCTCGCCGTCCACGCAAGCACCCCCGCCTGCGCCGCCGCCGTCGCCGCCGCCGCCGAAGTCGCTCAGCAGGCTGGCCAGCGGCACGCCGCCAACCGTCCGGGCGCCGCTGGCCCTTGCGCCGCCGCCGCCGGACCCCGTCGCGCTGCAAGGGGTGAGGGCCAGCACAGGTGTCTGACATGGGAGGGGCTCCACAATCACCACTGCCGGGCCAGACAGCCCAGCTTGGGTTGGCGGGGCCACAGCAGGGCCCACACTCCTGAGAAAAGCAAGCAACGCAGGCAGGCGTCGCCACTCAAACAACGCAGGCTGTCTCGGGGCCCCTGCGCATCAGGAGGCACGCCCGCTGCCACACACGGCAAGACGAGACAACACACCGTCCCCACCTGCCCTGCAGAACGTCTGCGAGGCGCCCCCAGCGGTCAAACTCGCTGGCTGGCGCGCACAGCGCGCGCAGCAGGCAGAAGAGCTCCGGGGTGACGCGGCCGTGAGGCAGGACGGCCAAATCGCCCTGGCTGTCTTCTGAGATCAGGTCGCTGTGTGTGTGTGTGTGTGTTTGTGTGTGTGTGTGTGTGTGTGTTTGTGTGTGGTTGTGTATGTGTGTGTGTTCATGTCTTTGTGTGAGCATGAAGGGATGGGCATGCCTAGCCGTGCTGAGGCATACAAGAGCCGACCTGCAATGTGTGCACACATGCTTCATCGATAGGAAAAGGTGCGCTCGGTGCTGGCGTGCGCAGCGGTGCTGCTGTGCGAGCCCATCACCGAGGCCCCCAGCTGCGTGCGCCGCACCTGTGCTCCCGCAGCCACCTCGCCCGCCGCCTCGCCTCCCTCGCCCCAGCGCCACCGCCGCCGCCGCCGCCGTCCGCCGCAGCAGCTGCTGCGGCGAGCAGCGCCTCTGAGCTGAGGGTCACCGAGTCGAAGGGGTTGGCTGGCAGGGCGAAGCCGTACTTTCTCAGCAGCTCTGCGTTGGAGTGCTCCCCATACGTGTTGTGCACCTTGGGGTTCGCATTTTGAGGCGGGCAGGCGCAGGGCGTTTTGTGG